CCCATCCTCTCTACCCATCCTCTCTACCCATCCTCTCTACCCATCCTCTCTACCCATCCTCTTGGTGCTCACAGCCTCTTGGTCCTCTGCTCCTCTCCCTGCCCCCTCTTTCTCTCTTCTCATGGCCCGGTTTAGTCTGAACCGCCCCCATGCCTCTGGCTACACTCTCCTTCATATCTACAATAAAATCTTCCTCAACCACACCTAGAAGCCATCATGTCCTCATCTTCCATTGACCGTGTAAACAAAGATTGTAACGTGTGCTTTTATTACACAATGAATGTTCGAGGCATACCCACGTGAGCCCATATTCTGTCCATTCTTCTCATGCCATTTGACTTCTTTGGGGTCATTTCTAACAATGGGCTGTGTTGCAGCCTCTTCACTCAGGAGGGCCAGGATGTGCTGACCTTTGCTGTAGGGAGGTTCCCACAAAGGAACTGTGGACTCTTCACAAAGGTCACCGCAGGCCAGAGGGACGGGGGTTCTGTGAAAGGCCAACCAATCAGGTTTTGATAGACACCCAAAGCAACAGGGCTGTGTGGGGGGGTGAGCTTCAGGTCTGGACAGCACAGTGACTCCAGAGCTCTTTTTCTTAGAAACTACAAAGTTAAGGCAGGTTGGAAAGCAGAGTCCAGAGATTTCTTCCCTGTGGCTCCTGCTCTTGGCGGAAGTCTTTAGTGGCCCAGGCTGGGGGGTGGGGGGGTTGTTCTTACTAACGTGTTTTTGAACAGCAAAAGTACAAATAGTAGGCCCTCAAACATTATTGGTTATTGGGACACTTTACACCTGGAAGAACGGCCTTGGTAGAAAGACAGCCTCCTGGTGACCCTGTCCCTCTTAGCCTCATAAAATGAATGTGTGTATGTGGGCTTCTTACTCCAAGGTGCTTGGCCCTCCCTCCTTCTGCCCTCCTCTCCCTCCTTCTGTCCTCCCCTCCCTCCCTTCTTCCTTTCTCTCTCAGGTTTTGAGATGAGGTCTCACTTTGTAGCCTAGTCTGGCTTAGAACTTGCAGTGATCCTCCTGCCTCAGTTTCTCAAGTTCTGAGATACAGATGTACCAAGATCCATGCTCAGCTTCCCACCCCTCAGCCCCCCCCCCACCACTCAGCCAGGGAATCCCCAAGCTCAAGCTGCCCTACTTCAGCCTCCTGAGTGGCTGGGGTTAGGGATTGCCCCCCACAAGCACTGCTCCAAGTGTTTGCTTTCTTGCTGCAGCCCTACTTTATGATGCGGTCCTTGGTCTTTTTCACTTTCTAAGCCAACCCAGCCCCTTGGCAACAAAACACACCTTACATTAAAGAGTACTGCTAATTAATGCAGGTCGGTGTTAATCCCCATTGAGGGCTTGGCTGGTGATAATTAGTCTGGCACAAAAATAAATTCTCTAGAAAGTGTGACCTTTGACAATTTGCCGTAAAAGTAACAAACATCTCATCTGGAGATTATGAGCTTTTTACGACCCCAAAATCCTCACACGTAGAACTGAAAACAAAAGCAAGCAAACAAACAAACAAAAACGCTGTTAAGATAATCTTGTTCAACACTCATATACTAAATATGAGGAACACTTTGGAACTCAGAGAGGTTAAACACTCTAGCCAAAGTCACACAGCACTGTAGGTTCACACTTTGAGTCTCCAGTGGGGCTGGGCAGATAAGGGATCTTTTGTTTACTCTGTTGAGATGTTTTTAAGCAGTTTTCCTAGTTCAGGGAAGTAGCCCCGCAGCCCTGTTCCTATCGGTTTTGTGACTTGCTTGATTCATCCTCATTCTTCGACGTGTTTTGCTGCTGCTAGGAAGCCCCAGCTGTGTCTGGTGGCTTGAGGAGGCTGGCGTGTCTGGGCCAGGTCCAGGAGTGGCCCCACCTCCTTGGCAGGCTGCTGGCAGAAAACAGCTGACTCCAGAGAGCTCCCTCACGTGATCACCGCAGCTCCCTGCTCCATTCCTTGTCCCCGGGAGTTAGACTGGGTACTTGAAGGGACTCCTTGTGAAGAGCACCAGGTAGGTTTGGTATCCTCATCTTGAACGTCTGCAGCAAAACAGCGCGGGGCGCCAGGGCGGGGCAAGTGCGGGGGCCAGGGGGCGGGGCGGTGAGAGGTGGAGAGGCGAGCCTTGTCACATAGACTTGGGACAGGCTCTCTGTGCTGCTTCCGGGCTCTGAAAGCTGTGGGGACAGACTCGGTTGGCTTCAAGTTGTCCCAAGAGGTCCTTCCCCTCCTTTTCCGCACCAGGAGGACAGTTACTCTGCGCTTTCTTCCTCTGTTCTTCGGCCTCTTGCCCCATAACAGACCTTTCCCCTTTTCTCTCTGCTGACTTCGCAGTGTGCGTCTGGGCGTTGGAGAGAGAATTAATCAGTGACAGGAAGCTGCCTCTCTCTAAGCAAGGGACCAGTTGCAATCAGACAAGCCCCCCCCAAGACGGGTCCCAGGCGTCTCCCACCTCCCACCTGTACCTGCCATGGAGCCGCTGAAGGTGCTGCTGCTCCTGTCGGGAGTCCTCGGGGCTCTTGCTGAGCTCTGTGGTGAGTAACCAGCCACTGTCTGGAGCCTGTTGCTTCCTGCGCCTCCAGGAGGGATGGCTGCCACTTAGGTCAGAAGCTCGGGGTGGGGGTGGGGAAACTTACCTGTCCCTCGGCTCTCCCACCGAAGTTTAGGCTGAACTGGATATTAGTGCTTGCACATGCTGCTGATCGCCACCCCCACCCCAACCCCAGGATCTCCCCAATATCCAGCAATTTGTTCATTTACTCACTCAGCACACACGAAACCTCTCTGGGATAGGCCAGATTTCTTTTGGAGAAACTGGGGGAGTACACAGGTCTGATTCCAGCCCTGCTCGAGCTTTGTTCATGGGATGGGGTTGGCAAATGGCGCCAAACTGGGTTACTATGAGTGAGACAAGTCAAGCTGCGGCAACAATGGAAAGCCGCAGGGGGCCCATCGACCCAGGGACAGAGAGGGAAGGCTGGGTCAGAGCTGAGACCCAAAGCTGGAAAAGAAGCCAAGAAGAGAGGCAGGAGGGGCAAGCATTCCAGGCATTGGGACTACCTCCCCCAAGAGATCTCTTATGGATTCTAGGGACCTCTCAAAAACATGGTTGTGAACCTCAGGTCAGATTCAGGCACACTCATGCACTGGGGCCAGGCAGGAAGCAGAACCTCTCCCCTACCTGCATGGCGACCCTGCGCAAACCCTTGAGAAAGAGCTGTCAGATGAAGATGTCAAGGATCAGAGGGACCAAATGGCCTGCTCGAGGGGCCCTAGTTCTAGCAGAACTTTACTGGACTCCATCCTGGGAACTTCGGGCCAGTTTCTTTCCTAGGTACCTGGACTCTCTGGACATGTCCTATTAAAGCTCCCCATCCTTGGGCCCTGGGTACTGTCCAGACAGTTCCCCGGATGCCAGCAGCAAGCCAGAGAGCCCCTGCTTGTGCATCTCAGCCACAAAGCTCCTTCCTTCGCCATCATGAGAACTTTGGAGGCTTGGTGTCCCTTCATCACTCCTGACCTTCTTGTGTCTTTTGTAAAAGTGAGCTGATGCTGTTCCCTCCACCTGCCTCCCCTTGGTGCGGTGTGAGGACGCCACACCTGCTTCTTCAGCTTTTCTGCACCAGGAGGACAGTTACTCTGCACTTTCTTCCCTCTGTTCTTCGGCCTCTTGCCCCATGAAATGGACGGGACAGGTCTAAAGCCTACACAGAGACTCCTGGGCTTCTGAATGCCAGTCAGCCAGTCAGTCAGTCCCCAGGCAAGAGGGCTGGGCAACCCTGGGAACAGGACCCCCTAGTGTGGGATTGGGAGGACTGTAACAGTCAGGGCTCTCGAGAGGGACAGAACTGATGGAATGAATATGTATTTAAAAGAATTTGTTAGACTGGCTTGCAGGGTGGCCATGATAGTGTAACAATGGCTGGCTCTTGATGCAAAGTCTGAGAATCCCGTAGTTGTTGAGTCTATGAGGCTGGTAATCACTGCAGACCTAGGCTAGTGCTGGAGTTCTGGAGAATTCCTGGAGAGTCCCTGGTCTTCCGTGTATGTTGGAATCATGAAGAAGATAGATTGCACACCAGACACAACAACAGGGTAGATTAACCTTCCAGTGCGAATGAGGACAAGCAGGCAAAAAGTGAAATTTCCTTCTATCTCTTCTCTGTCATCGGAAAGTTTGGCCCTGTAACCTTGCCTAAGGCCACTTTTTCTTGTGACTCTGCCTAGCTCCTTCCTTATAAAGAGAGTAAATTGTGGTTAGCAGCCTCCTATTGTAGGCAGGACTTTTTCTCATCACTTTAACACAAGCCGACTCAGGTTGGAGGTCAGAGCCTGGGGTGGGGCCTCTGGGCTCCTTTACTAATCTCCAGCAGGTACAGAAGGCTAGCGCCCCAGAGCTGAGATGTAGCTCAGTCTGCAGAGTGCCAGCCTTCCATGAACAAAGCCCTAGGTTCAGTGTTTAGCGCTGCAGAGTCCAGGCATGGTAGCACGCACCTGCAACCCCAACATATGAGAAGTAGAGGCAGGAAGATCAGGAGTTCAAGGTCATCCTCGATGACATACTGAGTTTGATGCCAAGCATGGAGGCCAGCCTGTAATACATGAGGCCCTGCTTAAAGGGGCAATCAGAAAGAGCCAGACAGAAGACCTCAGAGATACAGGCAGGAGTATGAAAATGGAGACAGATACCCCAAGAGTAAGCCTCCCACTGTTCCCATTAGGGTGTCACTGCGATGCACCCCGGGCCTCAGCCTCCCCAGTGCTGAGGCTGAAGGCCTGTGCCACCATGTCCATGTGTATGACTGCCAGAATGAACATTTTGTGAGATGTCAGCCATGTGCCCTGGCCTGGCTCACACAGCAAACAGCCATTTAGACTTAATACCAGCGAATGCCCCCCCCCACACACACACACCTTACACCCATAGATGCCTATGACTTCTGGAAAAACAGGTCTAAGATGGTAAGTTCCAAGCTTAGAGAGATGGAGCTGTGATCGCAGGACCCAGGCCCTGGGGTAAAAAGCCCAAGAAAGCAGGCAAAGGGTCTCATGGCAGGTCTGTTCGGTGCTCCTCCAGGAGCAGCTACTTCCCTGGCATGCTGGGCTGGAGTGGACAGTGACCAGGAGTCAGTAAGTGCAGCAGAAAGTCCACAGTGCCTCCAAGACAATGTCCCTTCCCCGTTCTGAGCTTGGGCCCTTCCCAAGGAGGGCAGCCACCAGCTGGAATTGGGACATATCCCTGAGATTTCTCCTTCCAGGGTATTTCAGTGTCTTGGCTACAGATATTCAGGTAAATCCCAAGTTGTGACAGGTTGTTAGTGGTCGGTCTCCCAGCCAGAGTCCCTTTTCACTTAATTAGGGATGGAATAAAAAATGGCCTTCAAGGTTTGCATGGAAGAATTTCCTCAGACAGCTGGGGAATCAGTTGGCATGAGGGCTGGAGTTTTGATCAGAGAAAGGGGGGAGGTGGTGGCTGCTTGATGGAGACTTGGCTCTGAAGCCCCATATAAGAAATAGCTTGACTTTGAACTTCCGATTTCTCTTCTGTACAAAACAACAATGAATATATCTACTCCTCAGAGCTGGTGTGAGGGTCTGAATGCCTGGGCTTACTGCTGATAGGTGGGGTGGTTGCTGGGCAATAGCATCCTTTGATCTCAGCCTATATTGCCTTTCCTTGATCCACTCTAATTCCTCTTAGGGAATGCCGGCTTTCCTTTTTACCCTCTGCCTTTTGCCATAGCGGGCATTTCTCTACACAGGTGGGCTGTGGGCTGTATGGTAATAGGAATAGGGACATTTATTTCCTGGAGAAGGTTTTATCTCACAAGGAGGTCAGAATAGTTGCTTACTAGTGGCATAGCCCTGAGGACTCACTCACACCATTTTCTTTCCTCAGTATTACCACAGATGGACAGCCAGCTGGTAGAGAAGCTGGGCCAGCATCTCCTACCTTGGATGGACCGGATCGCCTCAGAGCAATTGAACCCCAGCATCTATGTTGGCCTGCGCCTTTCCAGCCTGCAGGCTGGGACCAAGGAGGACCTATACCTGCATAGCCTCAAGCTCAGTTATCAGCAGTGCCTCCTGGGGTATTGCTACTCTCTCTCCTCTCTCCCCATGATCCATGATATAAGAGATAGGAGACTGGGCTCTAATGTGGGTGTTTCTGGCTATTTGACAAACTCTAAGCATAATTTTCTTCCCTGAGTCTTTCTCCATCTGCAAAGTGAATGGGTAAGTGGTATTAGGCCAGAGATGCCGACATGTGTCCTTTGTCCTGAAACTGCGTCCCCTTGATTTCTGAAGCAACACCTAATTATTCCTGTGCTCCTGACTTGTGTCTGGGGCAGACATCACTAATCCATGAGCCACAAAGTAGTACCTAACTGTTTCTGTGCTCCCCACCTTACCTAAGGCAGACATCACTAATCCATAACCAAATATATGATTGTATATCAATACAAAAAAAACAGTATCTAACTCTTTCTATAGTTTACTTTTGTGCTAAAGACAGACACTGCTAGACAACAGCTGTGTTCTTTCTTTCTTTCTTCCTTTTTTTTTTTTTTTAAGAAGCCATGCTTTGGATGTACTGATGTATTGGAATCATCCTTTACATTTTTGTTTTACTCTTACATTTTTTGAGGTTTATCTTTCATGTCATCTTTTCCTGCTTTTTTTTTTTTTTTTTTTTTTTTTTAAGCTTTATGTATTTATTATGTATGCAGTGTTCTGCCTGCATGTATGCCTGCAGGCCAGAAGAGGGCACCAAATATCATTACAGATGGTTGTGAGCCACCATATGGTTGCTGGGAATTGAATTCAGGACCTCTGGAAGACTAACCACTGAGCCATCTCTCCAGCCCTTTTAAAAATCTTTTTTTTTTTTTTTGTTGTTGTTGTTTGAGACAAGGTTTCTCTTGTAGCCTTGGCTGTCCTGGAATTCACTCTGTAGACCTGGCTGGCCTTGAACTCACAGAGCTCTGCCTGCCTCTGTCTTCTGAGTGTTGGGATTAAAGGCAAGTGCCACCACTACCCGGCCCAGCTATGTTCTTATATGCAGAACCTAAAAGCAGCATATTTCTGTGCTCCTCCAAAGAGTGGCCATCAAAGAGAGGCCTGCTCTGAGATGTGAATGAGAGGTGAAGAATAAGAAAATGCCACGAATCACCAGGCATAGTGGTGTATGCATTTAATCCCAGCACTTGGCAGGCAGAGACAAGCAGTTCTCTGTGAGTTCAAGGCCAGGCTGGTCTACAGAGCGAGTTCCTGGGCTGTCAGTGCTATGCAGAGAGATCCTGCCTTGAAAAAAAAGGAGGGGCCATGAAATACCTTCCTGATTTCATTCCTTCTCAGGAAGTAGATGCAGGGAAAGCCTGTCGTGGTGGCACACGTCTTTAGTCCCAGCACTCAGGAGGCAGAGGCAGGTGGATCTGTGTGAGTTTGAGGCCAGCCTGGTCTACAAAGCTACAGAGAGAAACCCTGTCTCAAAACACCAAAACAAAACAAAAAACAAAACAAAAAAAAACCAACCCCCCCCCCAAAAAAAAGAAGAAAGGAAGGAAGGAAGGAAGGAAGGAGATGCAGGGATGGGAGAGGAAATAGGGAGAGTGAATGGCCAAACTGGGGGTCAAACCAGGTGATCTGGGTGTAGGCACCCTTATGGTTCCTCTTGAATTTAACCTTCTTTTAAGCACTGTGGCATGCACTCCATACCGGCACACTTCCCGCTAGTTCTGCTTTGGGGCCTTAGTGGAGGTGATCCCAAGCCAGTCCTACCAGGGGAGCGTTTTCCCATAAAGGTGTCACTGACTTGCCTTGTCCTAGGTCTGCCTCCAGCAATGGCAACAGTGATTGCCAGGCCAAGCCTTCCGCAGGCCACCTGGCCCTCTACCTGCTTGCTCTCCGGGCCAACTGCGAGTTCATTGGGAGCCGAAAGGGCGACAGGCTGGTTTCACAGCTCAAGTGGTTCTTGGAGGACGAGAAGGAGGCCATTGGTAAGAAGGACGCCATCTGAATGCGTAGGGATCTCTGGGAGGGTTCCTCAAATGGTTTTGTTGTTTGTCGTATGTGAGAGGTCTCAAGTTCGTAATTGCTCTCAGTAGATGAGGTTCTTGGTGAGAGTCGCCGCTTTGGGTTTTCTTTTCCAGGCCCCTTCTCACTCCCCCTCTGTCCACATCAAGTCCACTTAGAGCCGCGCTTCTCAGCCTTCCTGACGAGACCCTTTAATACAGTTCCTCATCCTGTGGAGACCCCCACCATAACATTTTGCTACTGTGTTTTCTAATGGTCTTAGGTGGCCCCATGTGAAAAGACCATCCCAGCCACAAAGGGGTCACAACCCACAGGTTGAGGGCCACTGACCTAGTGGCTTAGGCTGAACCCAGTAGCCATGCTTGACCTCAGGAACAATCTGCTTCAATGCTCAGTCACCAAGACCGACCTGTTGTCCACCTCTGGGACACCCCGTTCAGCCTCCTTTCCTCTTACTCCTTAGCCTCTCTGACACCTTTCCAGCCTCCTGACTTGGGCCCAATCCCAACAGCTGGAGCAAGGCTTTTCAATATAAACTTGTTCTTCATATAGCTTAAGCCCTGCAGGGGCCCCTGACTGTCCCATTCCCAGCCCCCAGGCCCAGCGTGGCTTGCCTCTGACACTTCCTAGGCATGGGTTTGCTTACTCTCTGTGTGCTCCAGCCACACTGATCTTTCCTCACAAGTTTGGGTATTCATGCATGCTCCTCCATGCCCCTTCTAGATCATTCTTAGCCCTGTGCTCACTTCCCTTCACTTCAGAGTGACTTTTTAGAATCCTGTCTCAATTTCCCAGCTGCTGAAAGACTTGTGCTATGTGGCTCTGGGGGACCTTGGGTCACATTTCTGTTAGTTGTGCTACCTCATGAGCATGTGTTGGGCTGTCATCTTCTACTCTGGCCTCCAAGCACAGCACCTGGCCTATGCTGGGATCTCAGCAGGACCCTGGAGGAGTGTCAGATACCATGGTCTCCGCGGGACATGTTGGAGCATGCAGACCGTGGGGCCCCATGAGCTATGGGGCTTTTTGGTGGGAAGAGGCTGAAAGGGAAACCCTGAAGCCTGGCACGTCTCTTTACTCCTTGCCTTTCTACTCTCAGGGCACAATCATGAAGGTCACCTCCACACCAGCTATTACCAGTATAGCCTCGGCATCCTGGCACTGTGTGTCCACCAGAAGCGGGTCCATGACAGCGTGGTGGGCAAGCTCCTGTATGCTATTGAGCATGACCACCATGTCCGCCAGGGCCACCTCTCTGTGGGTGAGTGGACAAAACCCAGCCTCCCCCCCAAGCCCCAGGGGAAGGCCTCCACGACCCACTGTTACGCTCACCTTTCCTTGGGAATCTTGTCAGACCCCAAGAAGTGAAATGGTGTGGGCTGAGAGCCAGCTTTGAAACCAGACTTGGATCCACCCCAGCTCCTTTATGTGTGTAGGTCATCCCCTACCCCGCCAGTCAGGCTCCCAGCATTGCAAACAGAGGTCTTAGCGCGCATTGTGTGCTCTCGGCACCATACAACCTGAGATCCTGATCCCTGGTTTCTGATCTGATTTCTTGTTGTGTGACCTTGGCCACCACATCCATTTTTTATCGTCATGGTTCAGGGGCTCCGCCAGTCCTGTGCTTCCACGAGTGAGCAGGGCCTCTTTCACGGAGGGTAGGATAGAGGAAGGGGTGTGTTGGGTGATGGTGTTTGGTAGATGACTGCCCGGAGAGAAAAGCACACCAGGGCCTCTGTCAAAAAGAGGCTTGAACTGTATCAAAGACTCGTTGGTGGTGCACGCCTTTAGTTCCAGCATTAGGGAGGCAGAGACAGGAGGATCTCTGTGAGTTCGAGGCCAGCCTGGTCTATAGAGTGAATTCCAGGACAGGCTTGGCTCAAAGCCACAGAGAAACCCTGCATTGAAAAACAAAACAAAACAAAACAAAACAAAACAAAAAAAAAAAAAAAAAAAAAAAAAAAAAGAAAGAAAGAAAAAAGAGAAGAGGAAGCACAGTGAACACGTTAAGACTACATATAGGGAGGAGAGAACTTAGATTCCCAGGCTCTGGCTGCTCTTCTTGTCAAGTAAATCAGACTGCCTGAGGGCAGACAAGGCCGAGGGTCAAACTCTCTGAGGGGCAGGAGATTTAGCCAGGTAGCACAGCACCCAGCATGCCTGAAGCCCTATCAATACCCAACACTAAACAAACAATATGAATGAATTAATCAATACAATAAAGCTCCCTATGTGATCCCAGCGTGCATCCTGGTACAGTGTTAGAAACCCAATGACAAACACCCAGCCCAACACAACTGATTTTATGGGGTGTTGGGACCAAACTCAGGCCTTTATGTATATTAGGTAAGTACTTTACCAACTAAGCTACATCTGCAACCCTGGAAATCTCTTTATATCCATCCATCTGTGCCTCAAAGCTGAGTTGGGAGCAGGTATTGTAGGATCCATCCTGTTGGGACCCTCTTCTTAAATCTGTCCGTTTGACCTGCTGCTCTCAGGATGCTCAGGGACCAACCAGAGCAGTCTGTCTAGGCCCGAGAGGTTTCCTGGAGCTCAGTATGTTCAATGGGGAGTCCTGGATTAGTACCCCAGATGACCCTGAACCCCAAACCCATCAAGCTATCCAGTTCATCCTAGGCTCTATCCCTCTAGACACAGAAGCCATGGCCGGCTTGGCCTTCACCTGTTTGGAGCGTTTCATTTTCAATCCTGATCTGAGACCACGAATCACCATGGCCATTGAGACAATTCGAGAGAAGATCCTGAAGGCCCAGACCCCTGAGGGCAACTTTGGGAATATCTACAGCACCCCACTGGCATTGCAGGTGGGAAAGACCCTGGAGCCATGCCCACTTAGCAAGTCAATGGAGGGTGGGCTGGTCAGAGGCTGGAAAGCCTGGTTCCTCCCCAGTGGTTGACTACCTCCCCCTTCTCTTCCCAGTTTCTGATGATCTCCCCTGCTTCTGGGGTAGGACTGGGCACAGCATGCCTCAAGGCAAGGACATCTCTGCAGACCAGCATACAGGATGGGGCCTTCCAGAATCCTCTGATGATTTCCCAGCTGCTACCTGTCCTGAACCACAAGACCTACCTGGATCTTATCTTCCCAGACTGCCAGGCACCCAGGGGTAGCTGAGCCCTTTCTGTTTCCCGAGTAATCTGCTATCTGTGGGTCCCAGTGATGGACAATCAGTCGGTCCTGCTTTGCTAAGACAACATGTGTAGGTCTGCATAGGACACAGCAGCTAAAATGAGGTCATAGCCTTTTGATGCTCATGGTGTGGAGACAGATACCAAATAAGCACTGTGTGTGATGTCCACTGAGTGGTACCCACTGTGGAAATGTTTGAGCCGAGGGATGGAGAAGTATATCAGCCAAGGTTCTCCAAAGGAGCAACATTTATAGAATGATCTGTTAGATTGACATGCGTGATATGGTCCAGATAGTCTGACAGTGGCTCACTCTGGAGAGGCTGTGAATCCTAGAGTGTTTCAGTCCATGAGGCTGGATGTCTCAGCAGTCCCAGCGTGGTTCAGAAAGCCTGAAGGATTCTGGAGAGCTGCTGGTCTTCCATCTACATTGGAAGTCTGAAGAAGTTGGTTCTAATATCAGCAAATGAATGCTGTAACACAGGGTAGATGAACTTGATAATGAGGGCAAGTAACCCAAAGCCACTCCCTTTGGGTCCCTCATCTGGGCTGCCACCAGAAGGTGCCCCCCACATTTACAGAGGGTCTTCCCTGTTTTGAATAATCTGATCAAGAGAAATCCCTCCAAGGAATACCCAGAGACTTACATTTTTGTTGATTCTAGATCTAGTCAGGTTGACAAGTAAGATGAATCATCAAAGGTTCATGAATGACTGAATAGAGAGACATACATCTGGTCAATTTTGATACAAAGGAGCCTTAATTCCCAGCCCTGAATCCTTTGAGCACCATTTTGGTGAAGAACTTGAAGTAGTGAGTGGGGTTTGCCAGAGAAGTGAGAGGAGAAGGCAAATCAGCAGAGAAGGCAGAAGCAAACACACAGAAACCAATAATGCAGGGGCGGAGGGCATCATCTTAGAAAAGAGTGGGTTTGGGAGAGTGAGGAGGAGTAGGAGACAAATGCATCGAAAGAAGATGAGTCCATTAGAGGAAACCGGGAAGTGACATGAACAAATGTAGAGAGTTCTCTGAGATGCAGGATAGCAGGTGGGTAGGAGGCAAGAAGCAGAGACACCAACGAGGGCCAAGGGGGCTGGGATAAGAGCCAGTTTCATCTGGACGGGTGTTAACTGAGCTGCTATGGGGGAACGCCATGGCCGCATGGGCCGCAGTGTCCAGGGGAAGAAAGGACTCATATTCAGGCGCCCCATCCCCATCCTAACAGCCACTCTTCCTTTCTCCCTGGCATAGCCATGTTGGTACCAGCTGTTGAGGACCCTTCATCAGCCCACATCCCAGAGGTCATCAGTGTCACGCTGAAGGTCTCCAGTATCCTGCCACCATACAAACAAACACTTTTTGTCCTTGCTGGGTCCTCCTTGGAAGATGTCCTAAAGATGGCGCAAAACATAGGAGGATTCACGTGAGACTCCCACCCCACTTCCCGGCCCTCACCTCCCAGCCCTCCATGCTTGAAATGGCACCATGGGAAGGACTGGGGAACAGACACGTTCCTTGGGAGAAGTTCTGACTTATTTCTGCTTCTGTACTCCTTTCTGGTCTGTTTTGGACTGGCGTTTAGCCTGTGGTGGGAGCTATGGAGCACCACTGTCATCTAGAGAGTTTGCTCTAGAAACAGAGACCCAGCCTAGGAATTCCATTTCTTCTACCCCCAACCCCACCCCAGCTAGTGAGCCAGTTATTCAGTGAAGGCATGAGATATCCCCCCTCCTCATAGGGCCAGTGGGAGGAGCCTTCGGTCATTGGTGGACATGCTTTGTGTAGGCTTCATGCCTGGCACGCAGTGAGTACTCTAGGAATATTAATAATATCAAATCACCTCAATAAAATCTTGCCATTAATAACCCTGAGAAGGTAAACAATGTGCCTGTCCCCTTGAGATGTGATAAGCCTGGGAATTAGCATATCTTAATTGCTGCTCTTCACTGGGCCCTGGCAATACCTGAAGGTGGACCTGATTCACCAGAAGGAACTCTGGCTCAGAGAAGTTGAGTTCTTCCTGCCAGCCTACTCTCTCCCCTGGATTCTTGCCTTATCTTGAGAAATTCCTGCAAGAGTTCCAGGGAGGCTGACAGTGGGGACTGTTTGCCCACTCCAGTCCAGCTGGCCTGGAGCTCCCTATGTAGCCCAGACAGCTATGTTCTGCCTTAGCTTCCAAGTAGTGGGATTAGAGGTGTAAGCCACCCCCCCCCAAGTTTATTTATCACTAAGATCCCTCTGTTTCCTTTCTAGTCAGCTCCCTTGCAGTGCTCTGAGAGTTGTTTCAAGGTGTTGGTATAATCACACGTGAACACATGTGTGCTGTGTGCTCCTGGTGGGGCTCTGTAAGCAGGTGTGGAGATTACCCTGCACTGCCAGGATTTGTGTTTGGAAACCAAACCCAAGTGAAGGAAAGATAGAATTCGAGGCTTCTTAGGTCATTGAGGACCTCTGAGAGGCCATTGTGGACATCAGTCAAGTTCTTTTGTTAGAGTGGGTGGCTGCCTGAGATGAGTTCAAGGGCCAGACAGGGGGACTACATGAGAGGCACAGGCTTTCACAGCAGACAGACAGACAGACATGGAAAGAAGTGGCCCAAAGCAGCTAAGGAGGGCCTCAGGGTTAAGGACGTTTAACCTTTTAAATTTTCAATGGCTAACTTTTAATCAGTTCCCAGCACTCGCATAGAGGACTCACAATTGCCTGTCACTCAAGATTCAGGGGATCCAAGGCCTCTTCTGACCCCCCCATAGGCATCTGCATTATAAAAGGGCTGTTGTGTGACATTCCCTAAACAATCCATTTCTACTAAGTCCACAGCTTCCACAACTCACAAATTCAACTGATTTGTATTGATCTTGGCCAAACACTTTTCCATAGCATCTACGCAAGCTTTCTTGTTCAACTATCTTTGGACTGCCACCCCACAAATGATGACAGGAAGATTTATTAATTATGAAAGCTTGGCCTTAACTTAGTCTTGTTCCCAACTAGTTTTTTAAATCTACATTATGTCAAGTGGCTCGGTTGCCTCTTCTCAGTATGGCACACCAGACTTGATCCAAGTCTGCTGGGGAAATCTCAAGTCCAATTCATCCTCCCAGTTTGTCTCTCTCTGCTGCTGGCAAGTCCCACCTAGTCTCTCTTGCCTAGCTGTTTTATGGGCCATTTAACTCTTTATTAAACCAATCAGAAGGCACCTTAGGCAGAGACACATCTTTACAGAGTAAACAAATATTCCACAACAAACTACATTGTATTAGATGTTGTAAATGACCTAATTAATGGTCATGGAGTATGCAGGAATATGCACACAGGTGTTTGTGTGACTATCCTATGCACACAGGTGTTTGTGTGAATATCCTATGACAGACTTGCATATTCTTGGATTTCAGTGTTTGTCTGGAGCCTCAAACCAATCTTCTAGAGATGTGAAGGGGGTGATTGTACTTTCTCTTCACCTAAATCACCAAAGTAGGTTTCTGGTGTTTGTGTGCACTTGTGGTGCTGGAGGTGGGCAGGCATCAATCACTAAGCCGCACCCCGAGCCCTCTCATTTGACTTTTAAATGTTTTCCCCTTGAACTTGCTGTGTAGCTGAGGGTGATCTGAACCATCTAGTCCTTTTGCCTCTACTTCCCAGCTGCTGAGATTATGAGTGTGTGTTACCACAATCAGTTTATGCAGTGGTGTGGAATCAAACTAAGGGCTTCGTGCATGCTCGGTTAGCTCTTGGCCAATTGAGCTACATCTCCAGTCTCCACATTTAAAAAAAAAAAAAAAATCTGAGACAGAGGTATTTTGTTGTTTTATTGTGTTTTTAAAATTGAGACAGGATTTTATAAATTGCCCAGGCTGGTCTTGTTCTATAGTTCAAGCCTCGAGCTCTCAGTGCTCTGTCCTCAACCTCCCATGTAGTGTGGCTGGCAGGCCGGAGCCACCAAACCTGGCTGGCTTATATTTCTTGAAATGGAGGCAATCCCCGCTTGTCTAAGATGAAAACCACTGATGAGCCCTTTGGAGGGACAGAGTACTCAATCCATGGAGTAGTGGTAGGCAGTGTCTAGTTTGTTTCAAGCTGACTCAAACTAGCCAGCACAGAAGGGCTAGGAGAATGGCAGCCTGAGGGAGGCAGGTTTCTGCTGGTGTGGGCGAACCCCCTGCTAGCCTTCTTGGGAACAGCAGCCACTTCATCTCCTTTTATATTTTGTAGGTATGGGACACAGTCCTCCTTGTCAGGCCCCTACCTGACATCTGTACTGGGGAAAGAAGTTGGGGATCGAGAATTCTGGCAGCTCCTCCGGGGACCCTGACACCCCTCTGCTGCAAGGTGAGTCTGGGGGCCTGCGCCCTGGAAACTTCCTGCCCCAGTCCTGACCCACAGTGAGGTGAGGCTGCATCAACCCAGCCCAGCCCAGCCTTTCCTCTGAGCCTGCCTTGGGCACAGCTCAGAAACCCACCCAAATGGGGCAAAACATCCCAAAGATGGATCCAAAGTATTTGATTGAATTCTTGGAATTCTTATGGAAGTAGTTATGGAAAGTCCAAGAAACAGGAAAGAATAACCTGTTCCACTACCTAGAAATTAAGTCCTAAATTTTAAAAGAGATTTTTGGAAACTTTATTTTTGATCGTGTGTGTGTGTGTGTGTGTGTGTGTGTGTGTGTGTGTGTGTGTGTGAGAGAGAGAGAGAGAGAGAGAGAGAGAGAGAGAGAGAATGTGTGTGTGGGGGGGTTGGTGCACATGAGTGCAGGGTTGAATCCTTGGTGGCTGTGAGCTGCCTGATGTGGGTGATGAGAACTAAACTCTGGTCCTCTAGAAGAGCAGGTAGTGCTCTTAACCATTGAGCCATCTCTCCAGCTCAAGTCTTTTTAACTGTTGATAGATTTTCTTATCTCTATAAGAAATACATACAATGCTCATTTTCATTTAAAAATGGAATTTTATTCTATCAACACTAGCCAACAGATATAAAATTTCAGATATATGTGTAATTTTTTCTAGTTAATAAAACTAATATTACACGATAGATTATTTAGCCCAATATATCTCAGGTATTGTCACTCAAGAATGTAAAATCACTAATGACATATTTACCGGCTTTTATTTCTTTGTGGTTGTGGTTGTTGGGTTTTGGTTTTTGTTTAATTTTTTTAACATGTAACCTAGCTAGCCTTGAACTCAAAATCTTCACGTCTCAGCCTCCTGGGATTAACAGTGTGTCCTCGCCATTCCTGGTTTTGAAGGTCCCACTTCTCCACCTAATCACCTCCCAGTCACCTTCTGACAATATCACTTTTGGGTTAGATTTAAGCACATGGATTTGGGGGGGGATACAGATAATCATATGAAAGCTTACTTGTTTAAAAAGGAAATCTCCCTTGGTGGTACACACCTGTGTACCCAGCCCTCAGGATATTGGGGCAGGAGGATTGCTGTGAGTTTGAGGCTAGCCTGGTCAATATGGTCAGATCCTGTCTCAACCACTGTCCCTACCAAATAAAAATGAGTCAGCAAACAGAACTGTCTCTGGACACCTGGGTTCTCCCTGGGACCCTTCTAATTCTTCCAAGTCTGTTGACATCGTTTCTAAGTTGCTAATTCTGTGGAGCTAGGCATGAACTCGGGCATCAGACCTGTTGGTCTTTCACTAGGCAGGCAATCTTTCACTGAGCCACACCCAGCCTGGATGCTGATTTTATTATCCTCCCATTTTTTTTTCCAATGAGAATGTGGTATTCACCATGCTAGTGAGTGACAGCTGGGACTTAAAGCCAGGTATCTGCTGGACTGAACGGTCAGTTCTGGGACATTCATTAATGACAATCCCTGGACCACACTGAGACAGTCCCTCTGTCTGACAATTCTATTTTGAAGATGGTAACCCTCCCAAGCAGGGACTGCCCCAGTTTCTTTCATCTGTCATGTATCTGTTAGTCCCACATCTACCCACTCACTGGGAGTGTTCTCTCTGTTATGTGCCTGTTAGTCCTACATCTACCCACTAGGGGCACTCTCTCTGCTATATGAGCCTGTTAGTCCCACGTCTACCCACTGGGGGTGCTCTCTGTTGAATGAGCCTGTTAGTCCCATGTCTGCCCACTGGGGGTGCTCTCTGTTGAATGAGCCTGTTAGTCCCATGTCTGCCCACTAGGGGCACTCTCTCTGCAGTATGAGCCTGTTAGTCCCACGTCTACCCACTGGGGTTGCTCTCTGCAGTATGAGCCTGTTAGTCCCACGTCTACCCACTGGGGGTGCTCTCTGTTGAATGAGCCTGTTAGTCCCATGTCTGCCCACTGGGGGTGCTCTCTGTTGAATGAGCCTGTTAGTCCCACGTCTACCCACTAGGGGCACTCTCTCTGCAGTATGAGCCTGTTAGTCCCATGTCTATCCACTGGGGGTGATCTCTGCTGTATGAGCCTGTGGCTTGAGGGATCCTGCCTAGGTTGGATCAGAGTCTCCAGCTGGCTCTGCACAGCTCCCTGATTCCCAACACCAAACCTGGAGTGGCTCCTACAGATGTGGCTTCAGGGTAGTGGTCACTTGATGTGGTTGGGGTGGGACAGCGCCTTGCTAACCCCCTTTGTTGCATTGGTTTCTGCAGGCATTGCTGACTACAAACCCCAGGATGGGGAAACCATTGAGCTTCGGCTAGTTAGTTGGTAGCCCTGGGCTCCCTCCTGATGTCCTTGGACCCTGCTGCCACCTCAGCCGTACTTGGAGCAATGTCCCCCAGATCACCTCAACTATCTCCACAAAGAGGATCCTGAGCCACTGCCTACTTGGAAGCAGGAAGGAAAAAACCTCCCCTAGGCAGCTGCTAGTTTAAGTCTAGTCCTGCCTGACCCCAGGCGTCTTTCATCAACAGGCTGCCCTTGACCCCCTCTGATAAGAAGTCTGTGGGCCTCAGCAGGGCCTTCCAACATAATTAAAGCCTTGATTTCCCTTGCATGGCTGCCATGTTCTGGTGTCTCATGATCATTGCCTGGGGGGCAAGGAGCAGAGATGTTTGGGGAATCCAGCAGGTCTTGTGAGTACTCTCCTGAGTATCCGACAGTGAACTGGCATGGACAGAGCTGACTACACCTTTCTAAAATACCGTACAGTACAGCCCTGTGGGGTTTGTTCAGCATTTTCATCTCTCACTGTAGAGACGAGGGAACCAGCGGTTAAAAAAAAAAAAAAAAAGTGATTCGCCCTAGGTCACAGCTAGGCGGTAACACTGTAGGAGGCAATGTCAGGCAGGAGATGTGACTCAGCGGACGGGTGCAGCTACTGATGCCTGATGGATTGAAGATGCTTGCTGCGGACTGGGCTGTAGCTGAGCAATGCAGCACTTGCCTAGCATACACAAAGCCTGTAGCCGAGGCTGGCTTTGAACTCACCGTGCTCGTGCTCGTGTCTCAGCCTCCTAGGGTTCCCAGTGTGGCCCCACCACACTGGGAGGCCAGCCAGGGATATAACCCTGTCCACAACAAAAAACTAGAACAAAGATATATACATGTATGCTTGCGCATGCACACCTGTGTGTGTGTGTGTGTGTGTGCATGCGCGTGTGTGCAAGCTCGTGAGCAAGGACCAAACCCAGAGCCTTGTGCTTGCTAGGCAAGTGCTCTACCACCAAGCTAAGTCCCCAACCCTGTTGTTTGTGCAGTTGAGACAGGTTAAAATGGGCAGTGACACACGCTTGTAATCTCAGTGTCCCGTACATGAACACACACCACCAATAGACTGTTGTCATGCTTTTTCATCAGGACCTCCCCTCCCAAATAACTACACAGAGACTTCTTATTGTGAAAGCTTGGCTTTTAGCTTCAGGCTTGTTTCCAACTAGATCTTATAACGTAACTAACATATATATGTATGTATGCATATATGTATATACATATATATGGGGTTTTTGTTTATTTATTTTGTTTTTCTTCTTTGTTTTGTTTTGTTTTTGTTTTTTTGAGACAGGGTTTCTCTGTGGCTTTGGAAGCTGTCCTGGAACTAGCTCTTGTAGACCCCAGGCTGGCCTTGAACTCACAGAGATCCGCCTGCCTCTGCCTCCCGAGTGCTGGGATTAAAGGCATGTGCCACCACTGCCCAGCAAACCCATTTTTTTAAATCTACATTCTGCCTTGAGGCTCTTTACTTTTCCTCGGTACTGCATGCCAGATTCGCTGTGATTCTGCTGGCAAAATCTGTGGGCCTTTACTCTTCCTCCTCCCTCTCTGCCTGGAAGCCCCACCTAGTCTCTCCTGGCCAGCTATTGGCCATTGAGCTTTTTATTAAACCAATCAGAAGGTGCCTTAGGCAGAGACACATCTTTACAGTGTATAAAAAGACTATTCCACAACAATAAACAGAAAATTTAAATTGGAAGTAATACTTTTTAAATGAAAAGACACTTAGTGGATAATGGATTAAAAATCCCAGAGGAATGTAGCTCGCAGGAAGCCCAGATTCCTCCTCTTCAAAAATGTGTGTGTGTGTGTGTGTGTGTGTGTGTGTGTGACTCAGTTTCCCTAACCCTGGAGAAACGAAATGTCCCCAGATGTTGGTCCTCTGCCTAGAAGTCCTCCTGTTTTTCAACTTGGGCTACTCAGCAGCGATCTACGGGCTCCAAAGGGTATTAGAATCATCAGAGACAGGTGTGACAATGTAGATTCCTGGTTTATCCAGGACATAGGTCTAATTCAGGTCTCCAGTGGAAATTTTCACCTTTGATGGTTGTGAAGGGATTTGGAACACGAACGGCCATGTGAGGTTATGACCACCAGAGGGTGCTGCGGGCCGAGCTACACAGTTTTGATTTGAGATGTTGTTCTAGGCCGGTTGTCATCCTGATTAGTCAGATGACAGACAGGTGATATCTGTCCAGGTGGGTGGGAGCTTCCCCAGAAATCCAATGCCTGAAAAGAAGCTAAGTTCCTGGATGGGGCTTGATTCTTGATCGCCTGGAGCAAGCTGGGCTTGGAAGAGGCCTCTGGGATGAGCTGCTTACCCTATCCTGAATTCAGAGAACATCTATTTTTTGGATGGGGAATCCAAGAACCATCCAGGAGCACAGTCTTAGTGGCAGCTGATTTGTCACCTCAGAGTGCTCAGGGAGCAGCACACGGGGTCAGCTAGCCCGAGCTGGATGCCAGCCCGCGGTACCCTGCTTCTCGCAGCTGTGGTTAGCCCTGGTGATTCATTTCCCCTTCTGCTGGTCCAAGAGGGGGCGCCGCCCCTGGTCTGGCAGGGGAGAAAAGATTTGGAGGGGAATAGAGTGGGAAACAAGATGAGGCAGTCTTAAGGGACCACATGGCCCAGCTCTGATCAGAAGACATTTGTGGTTTAGGATCAGGTGGTTCTTCAAATGCCCTTCCTCCTCCTCCTCCTCCTCCTCGTTTTTCGAGACAAGGTTTCTCTGTGGCTTTGGAGGCTGCTTGGAACTCAGTAGACCAGGCTGGCTTCGAACTCACACAGATACACCTGTCTCTGCCTCCCCCAGTGCTGGGATTAAAGGCGTGTGCCACCACCGCCTGGCCAACGCCCTGCTTCTTGATCACTGCTTTGGGACATCTCTGCAGGATACCCCAGGGATCCCAAAGCCGGATAGTGGACTTTAAGGGAAGCTCTTCTTGGTGCTGGAGACAGCCTGGATTCTGGCTGGTAGCTGGTAAGGCCAATACTTCCAACTAAGGGACTTAGCCCGCAGCTGCGCAAACCGAGCCAAAAGGCGCAAAGGCTGTGGGAGGGGCTAGACGTCCTCGAGGCTCCGGGGCGGGGCCTCGTGGGGGCGGGGCCCAGGTTGAGCCCAACTTTCCGGGTGGAGCGCAGCTTCTGTAGCCGCGGAGAGGGCGGGGTCGGGAGAGCGGAGCGGCGAGAGCGCGCTGGGCCGGACTAGAGCCCCGCGCTCGACGCTTCCAGATTCACCGCCGGAGCGGAGCCGCAGCCAGAGCAGCCGAGCAGCAGCAGCCAGGCCGAGCTCGCAGATCCGCACCTGTCCACCTCTATTCCCCGCGCTGTCGGAGGCGAAGGGGACTGGGAGAGAGACAGCTGCAACCTTCGCTCCCACGCTCGGAACGCTATCACCCCTGCCCTGTCTGCTCACGGCCTGAGCACCAAATACGCAGGAGGTCTGGATTAGTGTCCCCACCCTGACGGTCTGGGGACCAAAGAGGAAAAAAGCCAAGAGGATTCCGTGTAAAAGCATGGCGTGAGCATGGGGCGTGGAGGAGAGTGAAGATTTCCCCTGGAGGTACCAGGGTTTACGAGGCCTGGGTGAGTACCAGGCAGTCCAGCATCCCAGCAGCCACGACCTCCCTTCTTCCCTGAGGAAGCTAGAATAATCGGGTGGCTCGGGTGTAGCACTTAAAGCGGTGCCCTCTCTTGTCTGAGGAATCAGGATCTGACCCAGCAAATCCGTGGAAAGCCTGCCTTCTGCCCCGGTCTTTCTGGTGCGGATGTGCCGCTGCCCACTGGAGCGCCATGAAGGCAGGATGACCTCAGCCGAAGCAGCGGCTGTGGCTGGAAGTGCCCAGGAGCATGGCCGCCTCAAGTGGCCTCCTGACAACTCTCAGGTCCTTGGGCAGCCTGCTCGAGCCAGAGTGGTTGTGGCAGCCCTGGTGTGGCTGTTGGCAGGAGCCAGCATGTCAAGCCTCAACAAGTGGATCTTCACAGTGCATGGCTTCGGAAGGCCCCTATTACTCTCAGCACTACACATGCTGGCAGCTGCCTGGCATGCCACTGGGGGGCCCGGCGGCACATGCCCCGCAGCATCCAAGGCAGAGTGCTCCTGCTCAGCCTCACCTTTGGCACCTCCATGGCCTGCGGCAGCGTGGGCCTGAGCACTGTACCCTTGGACCTAGCACAACTGGCCACCACCACCACGCCATTGTTCACACTGGCCTTGTCTGCACTGCTGCTTGGACGAAGACATCATCCGCTGCAGTTTGCTGCCATGGGCCCACTCTGCCTGGGAGCTGCATGCAGCCTTGCTGGAGAGCTCCGGGCACCCTCAGCTGGCTGTGGCTTCTTGATAGTAGCCACCTGTCTCCGAGGCTTCAAGTCCGTTCAACAGAGTGAGTGCCTGGTCTCTGTCTGAGGGGGTGGGGTGTATGGCTAGGATATTTCTGTGAAAGGACCTTCTTGGACAGATAAGGCTCAGAGAAGTCAGGGAGTGCAGGCTTCAGCCTAAAGCCTTAGAGACGTAGTTAATATGCACAGGCCTTTAATCCTAGCACTCGGTAGCAGAGGCAGGTGGATCTCTGAGTTCCAGGCAGCCTGGTCTACAGAGTGAGTTCCAGGACAGCCAAGGCTACACAGAGAAACCCTGTTGGTGAAGTGTTCTATACTTGAGAAGCCTTTGTCCCACTAGATCTCATATGGCCTCTCCCTGAGTCAGTCAGGTACTTTATTGTCCCCAGGTGACAGATGTACTGTCCCAGCCTGGGCCTTGGGCCAGTGAACAGCAGAGGCAATGTTTGAACAGACTCCAGGCTGCCCAAGCTATGAGTCCTAAGATTATGAACCCAGAAGGCCAGAAGAGAATGAGGGAAGAAAAGGGAAAGCAGTCAGGAATGGTTTATCTAAGCCAGGGAAGCGATTACGAGGAGCTATGGAGTGACAGGCCTGATGCTGTGTGTTGTCGTTGCCATTTCCACGTCATCCTCACGTTACCACATTACAGGTGATAGCACTGATAAGAGTTTTATGGTGGGTCAGGGGCTGTCTTGCTGTTTAGTTCAGGCTGGACTTGAACTTGTGATCCTCCTGTCTGAGCCTCCCTACTGCTACCAAAGAGGTTTATGATTGGCTCCCAAGAACTCCCAAGTCTGGTCTGTGTGACTGGGCGCTGCTGGCTCTGTTGGGAGTGGGCAGCAGGACTCAGAGCAGAAGTAGGTATGATTCCCCGCCCAGTTCCAGTATGCCTAGAGTGGAGGCTGACTTCCTGTCTGGGCAGTTGAGGGGCATTTGAGTCATAGCCCTACCCTCCCTCCACCTTAATGCAGGGAAGAAGTAGGAGAGTCGAGGGTGGGAAGTGAGGGGTTCCCAGGGATGATGATGACCTATGGTTGAGGCGGCTTGCAGCTGAGGAGTGGTGAAGTGAGGACTTCCCCCTGCCTGGCATCATCGACTGGGACCCAAAGGTCCTGTCCCCATCTTCCCCGGCCACAGGCAGGGTGAAAGCCCAGTCTATTTTAGCCCTCAGGTTACATGAGCTGAGGCCTGAGCTGGGACTTGAGTTGGCTCAGGGGAAACCCGACCCTGTAGGGCCTTCTTGAGCAGGGACACCAAGCAGAGAAGGCTCCAGCTTCCAGGTCCACACTGCACCTGCCAGAGCCAAGTACTCACATACTGGGCTCTGGGCAGCTCCTGTCTGTAGGAGGGCTTGCAACTAGCCAGGCATCACGGAAATCAGGCGTGATATTGACATCCAGCCACTCTTGGCTTGAGCCAGCTTCCTTCTTCCCTCTCAAGACTCAGCTTCTTACACTGAGTGTGTTGGGTACCCTCTGCTTTGCCAGCTGTGGGGTAGTCACAGCTATTCACCCATCTGCTTCCCAATCCAACAGGCTTTGGGACATCTCTGTGTCCTCAGCACCTGGCCTGGGGCCTGGCATAGGGAACAAATTCAAATGTCTTTAATTGATGGTTTTGATATCTGTTGACATCAGGTTGGTAAACTGATTAGGCTGCATGGATTGCTAAAGAGGCTGCTTAGGAAGCCAGAAGTTCTAACACAAGTGGGAGCCTCGCTGAGATGAGGGAGTACATCAAGGGTTTGGAATGGATCTTTTAAAGAGGAAGTTCCTTTTTGCTGGAGGCTCTTGGGCCAGATTCAGACTAGAGTGTGCATACTTTATGATCGTGCTAGCTCCTTCCCTAGAGCAGGGGGTAGGAGTCCAGAAGGACTCAGGCAGACACGGCCAGCCTCTTCTGTCCTGCATCGGCCAGCTGTAGCCTTGGGGCTATGTGGAGTGGAGCAATGCCACCCTCATACCCAGAGAGGCAAGGGAGTGAGAGGCCTCTCTGTGCCGAGTCTGTTGTCATCTGTCCACCCATGTTTCAGAGCCTCATTTGGTCCTCATCCAAGGTGGGCCGCGCAGGTGTGGTGTGGGCTGGACAAGGCTGCTGAGGGAGCTGTGCAGCCACAATGATGGCAACAGAGCAGAAAGGGACATCCTGGGCTGGGATACAGGCAGAGCCCCGTTCATCATCGGGAGAGCTTGGGGGTCCGCTTGGGTGCTGAGGATGTACACTGAGTGTTCTTCCCCATGCTATCCACAAGGAGTCGGAGACAGAGAGGTGACTGTCACACATCCAGGGAAGGGACAAAGTGGGGGTAGGCCAGGAGGCAAGGGTTTATGAATATGTCACTGCTGTCTCTGCAGGAAAGTGTGTCCAGATGCTGACTTGAAAGTGCCTTTGAAGTGGGCGTGCAGGTGTATGTGCAATCCCAGAACCCTGGGAAGATCATGAGCTCAAAGCCAACTGGGGCTGCAAAGTCAGACTCTGTCTATAAGCAGAAAAATAAAATACCCTTTCAGCCTGGCATGGTGGGGCACGCCTGTAATCCCATCACTTTACAAAGTGAGGTAGGAGTGTCACACAGCTAGGCTAGTATAGGCCAACCTGGGATCTGCAGAGTGTTCTGGGTCAGCATGACTACACAGAGAGCCCTTGTCTCAGGGCCCGTGTTAGTGGGTGAAAGCATTTGCTACACAGAGCACCTGAGTTTGATGTTTAGAACCCACAGTGGAAGGGAAGAACCAACTCCAGAAAGTTGTCCTGTGGCCTCCACATATTCCACACATACACCTACATACACCAAATCGCACACATGTGATGATATACATATCTCAACCCCCCCCCCACACACAAAGAACCTAAATAAAATGCCTTGGGTGGGGGGGGCTGGGACTGTGTAGTTCAGCGATAGAGAGTTTTCTTAGTTAGGGGAGGTCCTGGGCTGGACCCTGAGCACCAGACGGAAACAGAGCAATGATGTGCATGGTCTGGCAAGGGTGGGTTACAGAGGAGTCAGCACTAACATCTGGGGAGTTAGTCACTGCTGCCATGGGCATCACTGCCCTTTCATGGGCCTGAGGGGGGCAGGGGCAGGTTGGGCAGGATGCAGGGCAGGTGCATTAACTACCCCTGAGGGTGAAACCCACCTGAAACCAGACTCTTCCTGTATTGGTGTCTTTAAGGCTCAGGCCTCGCATAGCTCCTCAGGTACTAACTTAGGAGCGAATGAGCAGGAGGCATTCTGATTATCTGTTCACTTCTAGAAATGCTTGAGCTGGAGACTGTTGCCTAGAGGAGCAAGCCCAAACAGCAGAATGAACTGAGAGGAATAAATACCATTTCCTGTTCTAAGCATGGGCTGTGAGTAAGCAGTGTGTGTCAGGAAACTGCGATCCCGGGGCCCAGGAGGACACCGGTACCACTTGTCTCTCCTCTCCTAAGACTTGGGCACACGCTGCCATTTCTCCCCAGACCATATTGGCCTTTGATGGTCGCAGTGATAGGACGCATGGCACATACAGCCACATTTGTGCAGGCAGCAGGATCCCTTTCTTTGCTTGAAAACGTAAAAGGTTTTCCTTTCATTCCGGGTTCATCTTGACAAGCCCCACTGTTGGTAGTTTCTTGTTTGCTATGTTTTGTTTAGACTATACACAGACATGGTGGTGCACACCTGTAATCCCAGCATTTGCAAGTGGTGGGTGACAACACCAACACCGTGTCAGGACAAAAGAATACAAGGCAAGCCCCAGCTACAAGGAGAGCTCATGGCCGGCCTTGGCTGCATGAAATCTTGTCTTAAAAAAAGAAAACAAAAAGCAGTCAAACACCCTGATTTGAAGTCATAAACAGTGAGTGGCTGCCAAGAGCCAACAATGACTGCCTTGTTGGTCCTTTGTCACTGGTGGTCATAGTGAATGGGGTAATGCCTGTCTCACTGTTTTGACTCAAACCTATTTTCCTTCCCCCTCCCCCTCCCCCTCCTCACACTCTCCTTCCCTCATTCCCCAGCTCCTTCACCCTTTGGTTACATCTGGTAAGTGGTAGAGCTGAGCTGGGTCCTCTCTGCTCAGTCCCTGCTTCCTGGCTGGAGCTGTAGGGATGTTTTGTTTGTTTACATTTCTGAGCATTCACCACATTAAGGCTTTTGTACATGTTACCTTTGTGAAATGTTTCCTGTAAGAGAGGAGTGGGCACAGGCCACAAGCCCAGCTGACCTAAGTCCTCCTCACTTGAAAGTGGTACTTTATAACAGGAGCCACTAACCCTGCTCAGAGTCAGGCTTGGCTTCCAGGAGCTGCTCATGAGGATGGATGGGGCTGTACAGGGCTGGCTCAGTGGGCACCGCCTTATCCCAGGTGATGACAGTCACTCTCTTGGTTACAGGTGCTCTGCTGCAGGAAGAGAGGCTGGATGCGGTGACTCTGCTCTATGCCACCTCTCTGCCCAGCTTCTGCCTGCTGGCAGGCGCTGCGCTGGTGATGGAGGCTGGAGCAGCCCCACCCCTGGCTCCCACCGACTCTCGCCTCTGGGCCTGTGTGCTGCTCAGCTGCTGCTTGTCTGTGGTCTACAACCTGGCCAGCTTTTCCTTGCTGGCCCTCACATCCGCCCTCACCGTCCACGTACTGGGCAACCTCACAGTGGTGGGCAATCTCGTCCTGTCCAGGCTCCTGTTTGGCAGCCACCTCAGCGCTCTCAGCTATGTGGGCATCGCTCTTACCCTTTCAGGAATGTTTCTTTACCACAACTGCGAGTTTGTGGCCTCCTGGGCTACCCGTCGGGGGCTGTGGCACAGGGACCAGCCTGGCAAAGGTCTTTGAGAGCTGGTGGAGGGCATGAGCCATACCTGGACAGCCCTAGCCTGAATCTAACCATGGACAGTGGCCATGAGGAAAGTGGAGAGGTGCTATGTCCGCCAGGCCAGGGAAAGGAAAGGAGGTGGCTTCTGGAAGGGCTGTCTGAGAGGCCAGGGACCTTCAGAGAGACCCATCCCGTCCGTCCCTGCTGGCCTCACCTGTTACAGCAAGGCCTGCCACTGGATGGTGGGTCCAAGTCTGGCATGTGTGCCTGTCAAATGGTTCATTATGGTTAATGTCAAGGGCAACAGTGAGAATTGCTGGGCAAACTTAGAAAATCTCAGTGTGTTAGGATGAAGATGATGCTCAGCGGCTGCGCAATCTTTCCCCCAGTTGGGGGAGGCCGTGAGGAGCACCAGAGGGTAGTCTGTGCCAGCTTCAGGCAGCTACTTCGGCCTCGCTCCGGTGCCGCCTCCCCTGGGTTTGGATCTTCCATCCTTAAATAAACTATTTTTGCTTGGACATCTGTGTCATTCCTTGGGGCTACAGTCAAGGGAACATAGAGTGGCTGGTTGGCTGCCACGTGGTTCTCCCGGGCTCCCTGACCCTGTGTTGGCTTCCAGCCTAACACTGTTCTCTACAAGACCCTCTACTGGCTAGGCTACCATCAGGCAGCTTCAGGGTGGCGGTAGTGGCCCCGCCCTGCCATACCCACCCATGCCATCTTCCAGGTACTCTTCTCTTGGAGAGATCTCCCTAAAACACACATGCGCTGGAGTTCCGCTCTGCTCTGAGGACAGGGCTTTCTGCTGTATGCCACACGTCCCCTTATTCTGTGTCCTTGCCAGACTCCCTGTTTATCAGGGGCTGAGTCTAGGTTGTAGGCAAATGGGATCAGTCAGAAGAGCAACTTCATGGGGAGGCGGGCACCAAGGAAGCACTCAGGCTAACCGAGGGCCCTAGCGAGCAGGCCTTTCATGCAGTGGACTGAGGGAGAGATCCCTACTTTAGAGCGAGCCCAGAGCTCCCCAATTGGCTGGGCCCAACTTTGTCTGCTCCCCTCCCCACCCCAGCCTTCGGTGATAACAGCTAAGTCTCTGTACCTATTAAAATGGATAAAAACTTAGCCTGGGGCACAAAGGCCTGGGACCTAAACCTGCTATGCTAGGTCAACCTAACTGCTCTCTCTGTTTAGTTTGAGATAGGGTTTTATGTAGCCTAGGCGGGCTTCAAAGCCCCTATGTAGCTAAGGGTGACTTTAGACTCCTGATCCTCCAGCCTCTACCTCCAGAGAGCCAGGATTCCAGCCACGTTCATCACAACACTCAGGTTTATGTGGTACTGGGGTTTCAAGCGTGCCAGGCAAGCATCATCCTGCCAGCTAGCTAGCTCCTCCCCTCCCCTTTCTGAGCATCAGTCAATGATGCTCAGGGTTGTAATGGTCCCTGTAGGGGAGGATTTGAATGAGGAGCCCAGGGGCAAGGAAGGAGAGGTGACCAGATGACTGTCATTATTTCCGGTGGCTACTCACACACCCTGCTCCCCACCACGGCCGCAGATCCACCTGGAAATTGGTTCCTTTAGAGTGAGGATAGTTAGAGCAGGTGGGGACTGGGATCAAGAGAGTAACTACATATTCGTTCACACTCCCGTCCAGACCATGTGGAGGAGGGTAGCCTGAGCCTGGGTTTTCTAGCCTCAGCCTCCACCCAGGCTGGCCTTACAGAGGGCCTTGCTGACTCACTGCCACCCACCTCTCCATGACTCAGAGCTGCCATTTGCTTGGTCTGTCCCACCCTTCCGAAGCTCACCCATCTCTGGATTCCACTTTCAGGCTTGGCTGGGCAGGACAGAAGAGATGCTTTGGCTGGGGAGAGCCTCCTTGGTGACACTTGTCGTATTGGAGGGACTCCATACCACTCTAGGAGCATCCTTGCCTGGCCCTCACCCAGGCTCTTCGGCCTCAGGAGATGGGGGGACAGGATAGGGGTGAGTTAGATGGATCTGTGCTTGACTTAGGTGCTGGCCTGTCACCAGTCACTGAATTGATGTCCCCAAGGCCCTCCAATCAGTTTCCAGCAGGAGCAGAGACCAACAGCGAGCAGAAAGCCAGGGTCTATGTACTACATCTTTCTACTCACAGCAGGATGCTAGGCTAGTCTTGCCTGGCCCTACAGTGTCACTGCCAGTGAAGATCACAGGATCCAGGCAGTGGTGCCTTTAATCTCAGCACTCGGGAGGCAGAGACAGGCGGATCTTTGTGAGTTCAAGGCCAGCTTAGTCTACAGAGCTAGTTCCAGGACAGGCTCCAAAGCAATACAGAGAAACCCTGTCTCCAAAAAAGAAAAAGGAAGAAAGAAAGGAAGGAAGGAAGGAAGGAAGGAAGGAAGGAAGGAAGGAAGGAAGGAAGCACAGGCTAACCAGTAGGAAGAACCCCTTTGCCAGGTCACATTCCTTTGGGACTGTAGCCTTAGACAAGTGGTCCCACCTCTCTGAGGTTTCATGATCTTTGTATCCAGCCACTGCTGGTTTGCCCAGGATAACAAATGTTGTCTTCCTGGATAAGATCCTCTCCACCCCCACTCCCCTACCCCCAGTGCCACAGCAAGTCTGAAGCCCCAGCTGAATGTGACCATTCCACGTGGGGCCCTGATCACTCAGTCACACTCCATCTGAGAGCTAGCTCAGCCTTTCTCCTCTTCCTCACTAGACTTGCCACCCAGACCCCTGCCTCCAGCATGGGGATAGGATGTGCCAGCCAGCAGATGTAACAGCCAGATGCATTGCAAGGCCACCAGGGATGACGGAAACAGCTCTATACTGGCCATGTTCTTTTTATGAGAGCGTTTCATGTGATTTCTATCTTAACTGAACCCTTATCACACATTTGGCCTTAACTTCTGTGGTCTGAAGTACAACAGCAAACAGCACAAATAACTTTTTTTCCTTTTCACAATGTCACAGACTTGTCCTTACAAATCTTGACCTTAGCAATTAAGAGTTCAATGCCTTTCTTAGTAAGGCAATGGCATTCACCTTTTCACTTAGAGTAAGCACTTCCTTTTGGCAGGCCAGGTGGTGGCAGCACACACCTTTATTCCAGCACTGGGGAGGCAGAGGCAGGTGGGCAGTTCGAGGCCAGGCTGGTCTACAGAGCAAGTTCCAGGACAGCCAAGAACAGATAAGGCTACACAGAGGAAACCCTGCCTCAAAACAAACAAACAAAGCTTCCTTTTGGCATATCCAAAATGCAAACTTCACTCTGCTATTCTTGTGCTTGGGAGCTATTACTAAGTAAAGTAACAGTTACCTACACACAGCCATGGTGACACCACATGTGATAACCATACTAAGATACCAACTGCCAGGCTTTAATCCCAGCACTAGACAGGTGAATTTCTGTGAGTTCAAGACCAGCCTGGTCTACAGACTGAGTTCTAGGGCAGCAAGGGCTGTTACACAGAGAAACTCTGTCTCAAAACAAACAAAAACAAACAAACAAAAAACAAAAACAAAAACAAAACCAACCAAACAGCTACAAAAACACAACAACAACAAAAAACAAAACAAAACCAAAAGACACCAACTGTGTGACTGATGGGGCAGACTGTGAAGACAATGCCATGACTTGGGTGGGCAGTAGGAGGACAGGTGTGATATCAAATTGCTATTCAGAATGGTGCACAATTTAAAGTGCAGAGGGTTATTTCTGGAATGTACCACTTGATATTTTCAGACTGTAGTTGACAGTTGCATTAGTCACCTTATCTGTTGCTAACACCCTGACAAAAGCAATACTGAAGGAAGAAAGGGTTCCTTCAGTTCAGAGTTTGAGGTTACAGTCTCTCAAGTCAGGCAAGTCAAATGTAGGAGCCTGAAGCAACTGGTTCCCTCACATCCAACAGCAAGAGTCAGGGAGCGGTGGACCCCTGTGCTCTGGTCGGTTCCCCCTTTTGAAAACAGCCCAGGGCCTTACTCAGGTGCCGCTCACATTGGACAGAGCTTCCCACCTCAGCTAGCCCATCCAAGATACAGGCAAGCCCAGAGGCTCCTGGGTAATGGTAGGTCTTCCTAGGGTGACAATTGAGACCACCCTTCACAAAGATCAGTAACAGAAATGGTGGAGTTAAAGTGGAGACAGCCGTGTGCTATTTGAACTACTGAGGAGTCCTAGAGTCAGAACTGGGTTTGAGTCCTGGCTCTGGCACGCTGCGGCCTTCAGTCCCCGTGCCTCTCTGTTTTCTGTAAATGGGGCAGTGAAACTGAACTCTGCAGCTCTCAGAAGCTGCCTGGGAAACGCTTAGCCCAAGTGTCCTGAGTCACTGTCACAGACTCTCCAGAGTTTCCTTCCTTCCCCAGGAATTTGGCCTTCTCTCCACCCCTCCTCTGTGGCCACCTGCACACTGACAAACCTCAGTGCATGCTCCTGCTGGACAGAAAATGGTGTGGTTCTGGCCTTTAGGCTTCTGGCCAGGTCTTAGGGGGAAGCCAGGAAGCTGAAGCTGTGCTGGGCATCCTGCCATTGTGGACTCCAGGCAAAGCCTTGTCTCAGCCTTAGGTACCAAGGTTCCCCTCCCATCCTGCTCTGGTACCCGTGGGTTTGTCATTCTAGAAAGCCAGGGCAAACAAAGACTCCTTTTTTCAGTGCTAGGGACTGAACAAGGGTTGTGCATGTTAGGTAAGCTCTCTCCCTCTAGTCCTAGAAGGAGATTGGGGATATGGTTCCATCGGTAGAATGCACATAATACTCGGTCCAATCTGCTAGTACCATGGTGGCTCACATCTGTAAGTTGAGCACTCAGGAGGTTCAGAAATTTAGACATCTTTAGCTACACTAATAAAGATGGGCTACATGGGAACGAAACCCTAAATCAAACCAACAGTAAGAACAAAACAAAGCAAGGACTCTTCTTGCTGTGTTCTTCCTGTCCCTGCCTGGTCCCATGCATCCTTCCATCCTCCTTGCCCCGCCCCACACCTCCAGCCTCTTGCCCTACTGAGCCATCTTGCCCGCCTGTCCACTTCTTTGCTGAGTAATTAGACCTCCAGTGCACTTTAAGCTTAGGTGAAGGAAACACTGGAGGAATTGATCCCAGAAGGCCCAGGGCCAGATGACAATGGAGAAAGAGCCAGGAGCAGAGCAGAGCAAAGGAGTAGACTTTAAAAATTCTGGAGGTTTGTGTGGTGGCACACACCTTTATTCCCAGCCCTCGGGAGGCAGAGGCCGGTGATCTCGGATTATGAGGCCAGCCTGGTCTATAGAAGACCTCTATAGAGGTCTAGGACAGCTAGGACTACACAGAGAAACCCTGAACCCTGTTTTGAAACAAGAAAAACAATCTCTGGAAGTTTACTATTTTGAATTAGCTTTTGAACTAGGCCTCAATAGGCCCAGATTACAAACCAGAAGTGCTGGAGTTCCAACGACAAACTGAAACTAAGTTGTTATTCAGTAGAAATCCAGGAGGAAAGGACAGCCCAGGTTCCCAAACAGGCAACTGTGACTGGCACCACAATGAGGT